ATGTCATGTGCATTTCTGGATTGTGTTCAGGCACCAGGCTCTGAGATCACAGATTCACCTAGACACATCGCTGCCCTTCTGTTTGCACTCTGCTGCAGTGAAAACCACAAACTCTTACAGTGCTGAGGAGCCACGAGGCCAACACAGTGGGACCACAGTTCTCCTTGGAGGCCTACACAGGCTAGTGCAATACAGATACAAGCAGGTACAGAGAGCTCAGGGCATTTTATGCCTGTTCTTCAAGAAAGACATGTCTGAACTAACATTAGCCAGCTTTCCAGTGTTAAGCAAATGTGTTTCTTCTGAGATATCTCTGGAAGATGGTCCTGGATATTGAACTGTAAGGTTGTATTTGCTGGGATATAAAAAAATCAGTTAAATACCTTTTTTTTTAAAAAAAAAAAAAAAAAAAGGCAAAAAGGGGAGGGGAATTGAGTTGCCCAGAAGTGCATGTTTCCACCACATCTATTCTGTGTTCACCTCTTGGATTTGTATCTCTGTTGTTGGTAATCTCTGAGAAACCTGTGTAGGATCTCATCAGTTTCAGTATGGCTTTGGTGGCAGGTTGAGTCAAGAAAACAAATAAGTTCTTTAAGCCCCGTATCTCTTGGAAAATGTAATTGTTGCCTGGACAATGTCTCTGTGACAGAGAGCAGCCACAGCTCCAGACAGAACTTCTGGCACTTGCACTGCTGGTTGTTTGGAGAGGGGAAACAGTCATAAACAGTCTGTGCAGACTTGGGGCTGCTCTGTGACATGTGTTTGCTTTTGAGAGTATGGAGTCAAGCTTTCAATTTCCTGGCAAAGAGAAAAATCTGAGCTCTAATGGGACCGCTTAATAACACTGTCTCTGCATCTGCGATGGATTTGCTTCCTTTATGGTTCAAATCAACACATAGTTGATTTTACTGTGGTAGCATTCCCTAGCCAGGTAAAATAATGGGAGGTTTTCTGCCTCCTGTGAGGAATGTTAATTATTTTCGGTATGGTAAAAATGTGCAGAAGCCATGACAAGACTTGGCATGGTGGGGAAGGAAACAAAGTACTTGTTAAAAAAAATTAAAAATAGCAAGTGCAAAACTATGAGACTAGAAAAGATTAGTACATTTATTTGGAGTACGAGCTTACTGTACAGGTAAACTGGGAATTAATGGTGAGAAGATGAGCTGTGAAACACAGCTGCTGTGCTCTAAGAGTATGGATATAGATGCTACCAAGCAAAGTCCTTAAGTATGCATTTAGCTTTAACCATGTTCTTAAGTTAAGCAAAATGTTTAAGTGTTGGTTTCCGTCAGCATGATGGTGTCATAAATTAGTATTCCAATAAGTATTATCAGGACTCAAAAAACATAGGAATGTTCCAGCTGTAAAAAGCGGGTCAAATTCTAACAAACCATTTGCATGGCTCAAATACATGGGGAAAACCTGTCTTTATTTGTTGTAGGGCAGACCACCTCACTTCAGGAGGAATGTAGTCCTGAAGAAGAAGAGCCAAGAGAAACTATGCATCAGGATCAACTGTCTTACTGCTTTTATATATGCCAGAGAGCCCTGTACGGAGACAACTGGAAGAGGAAGGGTTCAAATACCCAAGGTGAGAGCTAATTTAAAGAGTTTTATTAGACCTCAGTATTATCAGGTTTCTTAAAAATGCCTTTCTGCTCGTATTTGGTTTCATAATGAAGGATTTATTGCACATTAAAGTTCAAGGCTGCTGAGAAATTCCACAATGTGGTTTATCTTTGAATATGGATTTTTCCTATGTGTCACATGTGATCCATGAGGCACCACAGTCATTTAATATTTTCCTGATATTACTTTTCCACATAGACATATACTAATAGATGCCTTTGCATGAAATTAAGCTGCTTCAACCAAGAAAAAGGAATCAGCAGCATGTTAATAGCCATTTCTCCAGAGATAGTTTATTGACGACTAGTTTCTGGAACAGAATAAATACCATTATAGGTTGGGGCAGAAACTGTCATAAATGATGCTGTATACGCACACACTTTTTTATTGTGTCTTATATGCATATACATTTTGAGGTCCCACCCATGGTGGCCCAGAAACTGCTTTGCAGATTGTTTGGAAAGCACATTCTCTCTGTCAAATGCATCTTAAACAGAGTGGAAGATATAGACCAGAAGTGTGATGTGTGAACAAGTTTTTGTGACTAGAACTTGGAAATGCCGATGGAAGTAAAGTTGTGAATGAAATCTCCTGGGCTTAGGGAATGGGGAGTTTAGTAGCTGTACACTGAAGTTTAACAATTTAGACAAGTCACATCTGTAGTAGTAAAAGTGGGTCCAAGGCATGGGGTTTTGCGCTACCACATTGCAGTTCATGTTGTTTATATCTTAGCAACTAGCACTCTCCCAGACGCTGTCTCCGCAGGGTAAAGGGAATAAATCAGAAAAGAAACTGTTCCCAATAGACAATAGGCAGGAAACCACTGTTTTGGAGAGGAGAGAGAGTTTATCTGCATGGTGTGGGGCCAGCAGCGGAGAAGTCCTCCTATTTGGGGTCACAGGATAACTCTGGTGGAAAGGGACCTCAGGAGGTCTCTGGTACAGCCCCCTGCTCAAAGCAGGGTCATCCTGAGGTCAGACCAGGCTGCTCAGGGCTTTATTCAGTCGAGCTTGAAGACCTCCAAGGATGGAGCCTGCACAGCCTCATTTGCTCTGCTGCCTCACTGTCCTCATAGCAGAAAAGGTTTTCTTTATAACCCTCTGAACAGCAGTCCTGCCCGCAAGCATTCAGGACTGCTATTCAGAAGGTTACAAAGCAAACCTTCCTCCAGTTTGGTGTCATACGTGAACTTGGTGAGAGTGTGCTCTGATGCCCCCTCAAAGTCATTGATAAAAGTGTTAAGCAGGACAGGTCCCAGGGTAGACTATTAGTTAAAATGCTCTGCTCGTAATGGGCACCTGGCCAGAGTATTGCCCTTTAACCACTGTCCTCTGAGCCTGTTAAGCCACCAGCTTTTTACCCATCTAGTTTTCTGTCCATCCAGACCATAACATCCTAGTTTGGATAACTGTTATGTCAAAAGAACTTGCCATTTGCTAACTCCAAAGGCAGAATAAGAGCTTGAAAGAAATTGGAAGAAATGTATTGTAAGGAGTCGCTTCAAAGAGTAAGGTTAAAGCTCTCAAGTAGAAGAAACCCTGTGAGAGTGTCCAGGGTGAGAGTGGATATGGAAGTGTCAACATAGGCCAGTAGCTTGAACAGAACAAACTGGGCTCCAGATAGAGTGACTGAGCCTGGTAATACAGGGTACAGAATGGTTTTATAATGAACCCATAATCGCAAACTATGCACCAGAAGCTTTTCACAAGTCATGTGACAAGTCTTCCCAGAGGTTTTACAGCTCTACCCTCCCAGAAGAACGTGAGTACATGGGAATCCTACCCTGCTTAGAAGGAGAAATGCTTCAACTGCCTTTGAAACGCTGCCTTTTCTGCATGGAAAGACAGTAGCAGCTGAACTGCTTAAGGCATTCTTTTCCAAGCATAAAAAATGGAGTGTTGTCACTGGTGAAAATAGAAGGGCAGTATAGGAGTCCATGTGCAGCTGGGATGGAAACGCAAGACATCAGTAACCCCAAACATTTACATTAGGATTTGCATCACTCTGAATGCCAATTTGCAAGGCAGAGACAAAGCTGTTCCCAGTTGTCAAGACAACGTCTGAGGGAAGCAGAACTGTCAACAACAAAAGAGGTCAGAGAAGATTTCTGTTGTCTCTCTGAAAATACTTGCAATATTAAAAGAGTAAGAGAGATTGGAAGAACTGCTTAAAAGTTTCCCTCAGAGGGAAGAGCCTAGGCAGGTATGTAAATAAACCCCCAGGCAGAGAACATCCGTAGGCAATGTTCTCTCAAAGGCTGGAAAGGGGGCAGAAGAATGTTCAAAGACTTTGCTACAGAGATCCAGACATTTAAAATATTTGAAGATAATAATAAAAACCAATTTCTTTTCCTTCTGGCTATAAGGAGACTTAAGGATGCAAAAGTAGGCACTGCTATTGTGTTTGGCCAGTAGCCAGCCAGCCAAGGAACACTAAGGGGAATGTAAACAGTTTGTATGCATCTCAATGGGAAGTTTACTTCAAAGCTGAGTTCTGGAAACAAAGATTCAAGCACAAGATTTTTTTCCCCTATTTTCTTGGGATTTTTTTTTTTTTTTTTAAGTGCAGGTGAGTTATTCTTTGTATCTGTGAGAATAGCTGGATTAATAACCCTGGAGTGTAAAATCATGAGTTCTGTGATACCAAACGAACAGGAGTGATATGAGCTTTCTCTACACAGTCTGCTACTGTGCTTCTGTCTCAATTTAGAAAAACACCTGGGGACACAGGGAAGCTTGAGATGTGTAGCTCATTTTTCCACAGCCTCTGTGAGGTTGCCTGCACCAGTTGTGATACTGTGTTGAGGTGAGGCCACCTTTTTTTAGATTTGGACTATGATCAATAACTCATTTTGACTTTGGTCTTCAAACAGCCTTGAGAAAGGGAGCAAATTGTATGCACCACAAATACAAAAACCCCAAGTTGTCAGCTAGAGGATACTTTTTCTCAAGTAACTGGCAGTAAGTTCACTCCTTTAAGTCATTGTGGCACAATTGCGTAGCGCAGAGATGCTCCCACTCCTGTAAATGTGTGGGATTTATAGCGGGAGCTATATCACCACCTTTGAAATGTCGTTCCACTTTGGAGACCTCTGTCATGGTTTCCAGCATAACAAGGCTGCTGCTGGTACCCAGACCTATTCATTTAGGGCTACTGGGTTGTGCTGTGCAGTGTAACTGTGCCCTCACTCTCTTCCCTTAGCCGTGGATCCTCAAGAATCCTGTTATCAGAGTGGAAATAACTTGCTTAGCCCCATAAAAAACAGTTAACTTGTTCGCAGACAAAGTTTTTGGGTGAAGTGGCCAAAGACATTTATAGAGACTGCTGGGGAAAAGAGGCTAACAGGTTTGGTTTCTGCTTGAACTCACCAGCATGAATACGGGCATCTCCGGCTGTAGCGGCAGCAGTAAAATTGCCATTCCCGGTCAAGCACAGATGGAAAATACTGACTCTGGAAACCAGCCACCAGCCCATTGTTTGAGCAGGTTTGATACCTAACAAAGAGGAGAAAGGGCACATAAGGAAAACATGATATTAGATTCCCTGATAGTTCAAAGCATTTCTGAAAACAGCATTAAAATTTTTAATTCAGAGTGGAAGCAAGGGTTTGGCTTTGTATTGAGAAGCACTGCATGCACTTACTGTGTATTGAGTAACCATTTTGTATAAGAAAGCAGAGTAGTTAACTAATAATGTCTTAACATTTATGTTGCACTTAAAACTATTTAAACTGTTTTTAAAGTATTTAATCATTCCAGTATGCTAATCAGGCAAGAAGATTGTTCTGGTGTTGACATTTTCAGCTGTTTACAAATCATAGTCCATTAATACTTTTATCTTTGTCTGTTGGTATTTGAGCATTTGGAGTTCACTGGAGTAATTTTTTTAACTGCTTCTCTACAAAAAAGAAGCCTTAGAAAATCTTTTACAAGTTCAGCAATTTATTTTATTTTATTTTATTTTATTTT